TTCTGAATAATGTTCTTATGCAGTTCCTCTTGTGGGAGGTTGGGTTGTTACTTTGGTAATGGAGCACTTGATTAGTGTGAGTTGCTTTTCGATATGGTCTCATTTGATGTCACAGCACTCTTTACATCCATAGACCCAGAACTAGTGAAAGAATCCATGGCAGCAGTACTACACAACACACCCAACCTAACCAAATACACTAAGATAGAAAGACCCAGAATCATGGACCTCAATCTATTTGAGGCCTTTTTGGAGGAGGTCTGCAGGCTACCCCCAAAGCTGTAGCCATGAAGCCATGAGCTGTGCACCCCTTACCAAACACTCTACCTTCTAAAAGATTTGATGAAAGAAAAAACAGCCAAGATAATCCTTCCTGCTTTCAAATTCATATCCTAATTATAGCCAAGATTAGGGAGATCTTTTCTTTTCTTGAAGTACTAAGATAATGTTAAACAAGAAAGGTGTATGAAGGGTGTGTGTGAGCCACTATGCACTAACTGCTGCAAACGTGTTGTTCTATTCACTTCACAAGGCCCCTGTGCAAGTTTGACAGATAACTGAATTTGACTCCAGATTGAAATAATCAACTACTAGATAAAGGATGAAAACAAACTCTAAATTTGAATCCAGTTGCTTCCTTTCCAGCATTTCTTCCTTTCATGGCTGTAGCAAAAACTCACCACATATTAGCTAGAATTATATATAAGGCCCTTCAAAAAGCTGTTGACCAAAAAGTTTATTAAAAGCCATTAAAGAAGTTAACAACCAAGGGAGAAGGGGAGAAGCCTTTTGATGGATCTGTAACTGGTTAACAAATAGGAAATAGAGAGTGGGAATAAATGCTTTTTCACCCTGATAGAAATAAGCAGTGGGGATCCCCAAGAATGTTATGGGTTGATTTTTTTTTTAACTTGCTTATCAATGAACTAAAATTAGTACTGGCCAAGGTTGCTTATCCTACTTGTTCAGGATTATAAAAATAAAAGTTTGTAAAACACTCCAACGATCTCTCCAAAGAGGGTTATTCATCCCTTGATGAATGTAGCAATCTATGTATGCGAAAAAGACAGAAGGGTTAATCCCACCAGCTTAGCAATTGGCAGCATCCCATCAGCTGATAGGATCGCGCCATTAGGCTTATTTATGTAATTGAATTGACATCAGATCAATCCATCAGACATACCACCTCACAGCTTTGATTCAATTCAGTCTCTTTCATCTTCCACTGAATGGAAAACAACATCATCCAAAAAAGGTTAAGTGCGGAGTGACTTTTTTTTAATCAATCAGGTGACTTTTCTGACTTTGGCAATACACTCAGACTTCGGAAGGAAGTTAAGCAAAATTAACTGTTCTTTTATTTATGCACTCTCTGGAGTGTACCTGGGTGAAAGAATGGGAGAAGATGCAAAGAAAAAGAGAAAGAGAAAGAGAAAGAGAAAGAGAAAGAGAAAGAGAAAGAGAAAGAGAAAGAGAAAGAGAAAGAGAA